GGTCAGACTCGTTTAGCCCGAGAGTGTACCTTCAAACGAACTCTTCTCATCGATACCGTTCGGTGAAAGTTGCTACAATGTTGCGTTGCGTCGTTTTATACGGCAAAAGTGAGACAGCGCGGCGGTATACCCTTTTTAAATTTGAATTTTATTGATAAGTGTTCATCACGCTTCGCGTCCTCCATGAAATTGTTATATTGTTGAATCATCTACCTGTGTTACCTGTGAATCTAGATGGCGCGTTCATCAGATCATGAAAACGTTATGCTTGCATTCGAAAGCCGTGGCACCGCCCGTTGGATTACATAAAAAAATTGTTTTTCTACTCCAATTATTTGAATAATTTTTTAAACGTGAATATTTTTGTTAATTTTTTAATCATTTCTTCGTCAACATAAGCTGAAGAACTTTATCGTGCTGTGCGATCGTGCGTTTTTATTCGCTTGATTACATAAATCTTGCTGGAGTGGAAATAAGTGATAGATGATTTTTCCGAGAGTGATCTACAAGAGTGTCAAAATCCTGGACGCTTCAACTGGATTCTCCATGCGAGAGATTAAACGTACTTTGAGTTCCGGTGGGGTCGCCGGAAGTAGCTGAGCGTGACGGTGACGGTGCTAACGGAAAAACGTGGGAACTTATGTCGCGTAGCTGCGCTTCGTCGCTGCTCCATTAGTTGACGTACGCTAAACGATCTCGAGGATAATTGCATTATAGTCTTTGTGACAAATGGTTTTATCTGTCGCGAGACAATTTTTATTTTACACTGATATCGTGTGCCAATCTTTCGCATTAGCGATAAAGAAGGATAATTACATCAAAGAAAACGTACAAAAAAGATTTTAAAAAGGCAATAACGTCTGAAAAGATCAACTTGTTTATGCTTTTCTGGTGTCTGATGCATTAATTGCCTCGTCGGAAATTATATTGTACTTAACGGTTGATTAGATGGGAAAATATTGTATCTAAATTACGGAAATTCACATGAGAACTAGTTTGTAAAATATATCGAAGTTTTTTTGGCCGTGATTAATTGGTGCATTAAAGCAGTGTGTGAAGTTAGTTTAATTGATTATACGTAATATCCTCGAGTGGGAAGTGCTCTGAGAGAAGAAGTCCATCCATAGAACGTACACAAATGTCAGATTTAAAAGTTAAATGGAGCTGGTTCTAGTCTCATATCTTGTAGTATCTAATATCCCTGTCCGTCCGATATTTACACAATTGAATTATTTATAATTCGTGAGATTTGCGTTGAAAATATTCTTGATGACGAAGCTGTCATATTTTCTGAGGAAGCGACGTCAAAAAAAGAAGAATAAACTCTGCTAGAGAGCGAGAAAAATACGATTGGAATTTGCGGTGCTCTTTGTAGCAACGTATTGAGGGCACAGACAGTCATCGTTTAAAAATAACAGAAAGAAATCGTAAGACATCACGTAAGACAGAGTGCCGATTGCATTGTGCAGCGGAATACTTGGTTCTCCACTGTTATCCATGAGGTGTTCGCAACATCTGCGACCAGCAGGTCCAAGGTAGAGAGAGTGAACTACTCGGAGAGAGGAGAGACTTAGCCGCGAGACCAGAAACAGAGAGAGAGACTGATCAGAATCCTACTCTTCTAGGTGGAATCTCTGACGTCAGTCTGGAGGAAGTCGTATGACCAGTTCGGGACGGTCACTGGTAAAAAGTGACCAGGAAAAAGAAGAAAAGGAGGAAGAGTAGGAGAAAGAGGAGAAGGCAACAGTCTCCTCTATCTGGCTACGTTTTTACCGGCCGGCTCTCGAGAGCATCTTGCGCCGCCATGTCCTCCACGCATCGCGACATCCATCACCAGTAGTAGCGTTTGCCCCTACCTCTCTTTTTCTCTTTCTCGCTCTCTCCTTCTGCCTTTTCGCGGCATCCATTCAGTGGCCGTTGTGCCGGACTAAAATTACCCTGGTTGGTTACGATCAACGCGTGAGCGAAGTGCTAGCTCCAGCGTGGAGCGTTTCGGAGCTGATCGCGACTTGTGAGGCGTGTAATACCTGATGCATGAACGGTCGTGATACATCAAGTGTGTGAAACTGTGAATGGATGTTGCGTGAGGCCGAACCAATTTCGATTTCGTGATATAATAGTGCTTGCACTGAGTGGTTACGCTGATATCTCAGATATAATTTTTGGTGAGAAGTTTACTGAATGTCATCGAAAGGATTCACTAATAATATAAGAATTTGGAGTCTACATCGTAATAAAGTGGAAAAATCTAAGGATCGACTGGTGTTGATGAATTGAAACGGATTAAGTAGTGTTTCTAGTAGATCTGTCAACATTTGAATGAGGTGCTTGTATATGAGGTGTTTAAAAAGAAACTCCACTAAGTGAAGTTCTCTCTCTCTCTCTCTCTCATATTGTACAAGAGATAAGTGTGCTACATAAAGACCACACCTGTGTCACCGAGCGTGGATGTCATTAGACGTCAGTGACATCGCGTATGGTGCATCAAAGGATACGTGGAACTGCCACCGATCTGTTATATTTGGATATTTGACGCGAGTGGTATTGCTCGTCGTGAAAACATCGCCGTCCAAGAGAAATGGGAAACCACCCGTCCGCCCACCAGCCACTCGAGAGGGCTACCAGTCATGCTGGAAATGGTCTTCGCCTCTCGGTACGTCGCGATGTTGTTTTTACATCAAATGTAACGTTTACGATTACTTGCGTGTGCTGTTCTGTCACATCTGATATGAGACGAAACTGTCACTCGCATGTAGTACACGTGTGACAGTTGTAATTATACGGTATTGTTCAGAGCATTTAGCTTCAACAGCATATCAATGGTAGTACCTATCCATTGACAGGATTTTTTTTAGCGTTAGCATTTATTTTCTGAAAACTTATAAGTATGGAATTATTAAAAATTAAATATTAAACAAAGTGCGAAAATAAATGAAAAATTTTAATCTTTAATTTAGTTAAAGCAGAATGCGTTTTAATATATATTTTAATATTTATGCGTTTTAATATATATTTTAATGTACTTTAATATTTTATTTCACAATTCGGTTTATTTTATAATAAACCGAAATAAAATATTAAAATTAATCACAAAGGCCCAAAAGAATAATTTTGTAAGAATTTTTGTAAGAATCATTTTTGATCACATTTTTTGTACTTTCTAAAATTGTTGCTTATATATTTATAATTGTATTACGATGTAACAATATACAAAATTCATACAAGTATTAGCATAAATCGCATATCATGGCGTGACCATCAACATTTTCCTCTTAAACGTTTTGCGAAACGTTCTGTACACGAAAGGTTTATTCCACGCTTCATAAAATCCGAGATTTGCAGCCATCGGAAATGACGGTTTGCCCTTCTTACTTCCATTTTTCACCCTCGATCACACCCCTTATACATTCTTATTTCTCATTTTGTTCTCTCGCAATTTTCTACATACAATGACTTATATATTTCACACATTTTTAGATATTAAAAGTGCGCGCGTATGTATGCTTGTTTTTTTTTAATTCTAAATTTTATTGTTTTATTGCATTTCATATCTAAAGTGTGCATTCATATCTGAAGTATAAAAGAAAAAAAAATAATAGACATTCTTCATATCGAGAAATATGTAAACAAATATATAAGTACTATAATTTATCTATATATAATATTTATTTATATAAGTACTATATTCTTTAATGTTTATCGATACTATGATAAAGAGTTATGTTATAATCTAATAGAACTTTGACAGTATACTTTACCGTGAGTAACTTTGTTTATCAAATGTGGAAATACCTACTTAAAAAAGAAATGAATGGATAAATTTAAAATACTTTTTCTTTTTATTTTGTATAATAGTAAAATGTATTATTTTTGTACAAATTAATTTCCTAAATAGGGATAATTTTTTAAAAATTAAGAATAAAATGAATATAACTTGTTCTATACATAAACTTGTTAAACAATTTATGCGACTGAATAAAGATGGAATAAAATCTACATATATACATTTGCATTCCTAAAATCGCTGACTGTACGTCTCAGGTATTTCTGTAACGAGGAACTTTATTAACATGGACGCATGACGTCAATCACATTGGTCACAGCATGACTAATATATTATTTCCGTTGCGCTGGACTTTTGGTGTGATCACGAACATTATAGACGTGAGAATTCAATTTTCGTGACAATCAAGTTTTTCCCAAGCATTTGGAGATCTTTGCGCGTGACATAAATCCTTGGTATTCATTTATCGCACTGAGACTATCAATGCGCGTCATGCGAATTATGTAAGCTTACTACTGCATTTGTGAATCCCTATTTCATAGATGGAATGACGTATTTCATGCGTGACGTTTCAACAGTGAAAATGACGATACAATGAGGTGCGGTTGGCGCTTGCGTTTCAATGACCTTTGCTCGTAAGCACGTGTCCGAATCAGTCTTTCATCCATTGGATTCCGAAAACGCTACATTCAATTTACAATTGCGAAAAACTGCATCTGTGAATACTGCATCGTGCTGAATATTATATAAACATTGAAAATTAATTTCGAAATATCAAAATAATTTATTACAAATATTATGAACAAATATATAATAACTACGATTTTCATGAAATTAAATCCGAGAAGCAAATTTAATAAAATTTACAAATTTATGATTTAATAGGATTTATTTTTTTTAAATAGATTTATAATAAAGTTAACAATTTTTATTAACATTTTTAATCAATCTTTTATACTTTATATTTATGTATTGTCTACCCTTTTTATTCCAATTTTTGTTTTTTTTTTGTAATAACGCTGTTTTGCAACAAATACTTATTTATATTTATAAATTATATATGCCTTAAGAAGCAGACAGATGGTATATTTATAATCACGACAAAGGAAAGTAATAAAAAAGTTTAGAAAAAGATAAGAAAAGGAAAGTCAGTAAACTTCGTTATATTTATTCTTGCTGTTATTATTTAAATTTTATAAAAATATATTTAATTAATATATAAATATGCAATTTGTTTCTTATTTAAAACATATATATAATTTATAAGGATATTCATATAAGCGCTTTTTTTTAACGTATTAATATAATTACTACTTTTTGAAAACTTTATTAAATGTAATTTTTATAGATTTAATAAGTGCACGTAATATTTTATTATACGCACAATGAAATGACTTGTAAAATGTCTATTAATTAATTCTATGATAATTTTATTAAATCGACAAAAAAATTTCATATAAATCGTATCTTATTTTCAACATACCAAACTGATAATTTATTTGTGAAACATAAATGCATTTTATGAAATAAAAGCGAGAGATTTTATGAAATTAAAGAATATTATACTTTCTTGTTACTTTGACATGACAGCTTTGCGATATGATACAACACATGAAGTGAAAATATTTATTTTCATATAGAAGAAAACCGACAAAATTTCTCTTGAAAAGAATCATGGATTTATTTTATAAAAGCAAACGTGTTTATTACGGAATAAACAAACAAACATTATATTTTTGAGGGAGGTGACTTTGACGCTCATTTCCTTTGATGAAAAAGCTTTTGCCCCTTTTGCTGCTTTGTTGATATTTAATTCCTAGAAAGCAGGAATCCCTAGAAAGTGGAATAATTTAAAGCTTGGGAGAGTGGTCATGGAAATGGCTGGATGCTGCACTTCCTCGAATTCATCGTGCGGTATAATTACATGATGTTTGTTACGCGTTTTAATTAGCGGAATTAGTAGATTACGTCGAGATTGCGAAAATTTCGTTTCTGCCGAGTGGATTTGCAATATTTGATTTAGTCGCGACATCAAATAACTCGTCTTCATTATCGTTCTTTTACACTTATTCAACACCTTGATGCATAAGCAATTTAATATTCACGAAATAAGTTGATATCTTGAAGTCAGCAATATTCTCGTGGCGTAACAGAAAAAAATATTGTGAAGAATTGAACTACGAAGTCCGTGCAATCACGTAACAATTCTACATATACAAATAATATTTATTAATTTATTATATACAATGAAATGAATTTAAAAAACATTTATTCATTAATTCTATGATTATTACATAAAAATCGGTAAAAGACTTTTAGAATGACAAAGAATGATATTAAATATTAAGTGAATAATAACAATCCCGGAAATTAAAAGTGCTGAAAACTTTAATATGCTTTTTTTCTCGAAAATTAATGCCATCTGCAAGCTATATTAAATTAGAAATGAAATTATTTGCCTAATTACAAAAATACACAATATTACTTTTTTAAAACTAAATTCTTTGAAATGGAATTTCATTTTAAAGAACGAAAATTAAGTCAGTCTTGAAAGAACGGGCTTAATTTTTAATCTTTAAGAATGAGATTTCATTCTTCAGAGTGCAGAGATTTACTTTAAAGAGTTTTAAAGAGTATTTAGCTAGCAAGATTGAAGAAATGTAGTTATACATATATACACGGTACTTCAAGCTAATTTATTTCAAGGAAGAGGACAGCAGCACGCAAATTACAGAGAACTTAAACCGATCCGCCAGCGTATCGCGGTTACATTCAAATCGCGTTTTACGCACGGTCAACACATATAAATCTAATCGTACGCGTGAATCCACACTCGCATGCGTGTACGCCTGCGGTCACGCACACTCGTGGTCCAATCGAATCGAGGGGATCGAACTCAAGGATAACTGGTGCTGCATGCAGCGCTGCTTCTCAACGATAAAGCGAAAGAGATCCAGGAGTTCGCTAGCTGTTCAAAGCTACTGCCGATTATTTGTGCATAAATGATCTTTTCTTCTTTAAATAGACACTGCAATCTACAATAAAATGCAATTTTTATTTCTAAAAAATTTAAAAGAAAAGAATTTGCTACATTAATTTCTTTCTGATCATAATATTCAACATATGTAATCTATTTTGCTCTTCGAACGTTTGAAAAATATATATATATAAAATTTATTTTTTATTTCTAAAATTTGTTTATAGTTTTTTTAGTGTTTGTTATAATAGATATGGAAATGTTCTTAATATATTTTTAAAATATATTATATTTAATAGACGTTACACATTTAAAAAAAATTTTTTGCAAAAACTTTTCATCCTTTATTTTAATTTTTTTCAGTGTCAATAAAATGCGTTCATTTATTCTCTTTCTCAATCTTTTAACATGCTAATCGATCTGCAGCATATATAACATTTAATTATGCTTTGATTCAAAGGAAATCGATTGCGCAGGTTGAAAACCACACATTCCTACACTTGGTATTTCCATGTTGGACGGCCAGGACGGCGACACAACACGCTACATTGCCTCGCGTGAAAGCCCACTCGTTGCACTTTTCTGCGTATGCGCGTATCCGCCTCCGTTATTGTATGCGTAGACACCTGCCGCGGTGAAAGGACTCAAAGTAGATTTATACGAGATGCGTAAACTAGGCATATCCATCGTTTGGTATTCCATACGCACGTTATTTTTTGTATTCTTTGTTGAACGTTCGACTACTCTTTCTCGTTTGATTATGACAACATTATTTAGTGTCTTTACGTGAACCCCGCACTTTCTATGCGCCATCTTTTCTATAAACTTCCTCTTTCTTGACGTTATTTAATATGAGATATGGCTCCCTCGCGCGAGAGCTTTGTAATCCTGC